AAGCATTTTTTGGCTTCTCTCTTCCCTCATCCGTTCTCCGCAACATTTCCATCATTTTTTCCCACTTTTTTCATTACTGGTGTGAAACATCCTTCAACATAAGTTTGATTAGCACGTTTTTACTTCGGCTTGATTCTATTCAAATGATTGCAATCATTAAGTATGTACAGACATGGAAAGATCACTAAACCCGTAGAGAAATAGTCAAGAGATACAGTAATACCTACAATTGCAAAAGCAACTAACTAAAGTTATTGAAATTGTTATAATTGTTATAACTATCCTTGTAGGCAGTATTGCCATTTAGAGACGATATTCTGGATCGTCGCAATATTCTGGATAGCGATGGCCGTTCATGCACAGGAAATGCGGCGCCATTCTCGTCAAACGTCAGCTCATTGGAGGAATCGTAACTTCGTGGCCAAATCTGGAAATATTGTTATAAATAATAGGGAATTTAACACCGCGAAAAAAACGGGCTCGTTTATGTCATCGCGCAAGTTAATGATGACGGCTGGTGCTGAGAGTTTGTGTAACTTAATTGTAAAAACTGCAAAAGTGACATTCTCATGATTCGCTCAAGAAAGTATTCATTTGTGCTTTTTGCAAGGACATGAAGTAGAGGGTTACTTAATGTTCAAGGGCTCTCGGTCTTGGAGTTCAGGCTCATTTTAGTTATCAGTTAATGACTGAATTGCCTAGTTCCACCTTTCCTGATTGAAAAAGCGCACATCTATGGCCAGAGCTAGAAGTGCTTATTGGGATGACCTGCAAAAGTCTCACAAGATCAGCATGTTCCTTAGAAACTGAACAAGCTTCAAGTTGGAAAAGAGAACAGGAACTAGTTACTCTGCAAATTTTTGAGCTTCTTCTTCTACTTCCTCGGAACTTAACGGGTTTACGTGGTAACATTGACGTTTCAAATTTTTGAACATCGATAATGTGTTTTAAAACTGAAATGCAATGAAGTAGCTGCTCACCAACTCGCCGCCAACAGAACCGATAGGACGGATGAGATTGAACGCAAAAGTATTATCAACGTTTCGTTCCTTTTCAAGAAGTCGCCGGTAGACATCCTCGATGGTGATCGACAAGCATCCTGAAATTGATAGAATTCCTTTCAGAAATTGGATTAATTCTCTCTTATTGCAAAAGCATGTGTAATTAGAATCCACTACTCCTAAACCTTTAGCAAGATAAACCTTCAAAATAAGCTGTAACAGTATGGACTCCTTCTCTGCTTGGAAGACTAACGCAGTGTGAATGTTTTTTCGGATCTCTGATGTCCGAGATGTCTCATAGTGGCTGAGAAATGTAAATTTGCGTACCTTGCAGAAAAAAGCTGAGCGAGAAACCAAGAAATAGTTGTCTGGAAGTGATGAACATAGCAGTGTTCGCCGAAATTCTGATGCACCGAGCGAGCAGTTCACGTTTTGGTCCGCCTTCTGCGTGGTCGACTTTATAGAGCGTCTAAAAGAACAGGATCGGAAGGGGCATACGTCACGGCCTATGGTCTGCGGTAACCCCTCCTTCCGCCATTGAAGTGCGTCTAGAAGAGACGGCTCCTCCCACGGAGCCTACGTTCAAACCTTTTCCTGATATCCCTTTCTGAAAGGATATGCTGAGCAATCTAAGTAGGGTTAAGAAGTCTTGTT